GTGTATCATAAGATTGGAATGACACCCATTTGTAGGAGAATAAAGCAGGGGGAAGCCAAGATCTCAGAGAAGTCTATTGTCTTTCCAGAACTTCATCTCAGAGATGGGTATGAATGAAATAAGAATGCAGGGATACAGATTCACACGGTGCAACAATAGGGATAGTGAAGGGACGGTGGAAGAGAAGCTAGATAATGGTTTTGGCTCTATGGGACCTTCCTGGTTTCCAGCTCTAGCCAAGTTAACATTCCTTATTCCTTTGAAAGCTCTGTCAAGTTTCATCCCCACTTCTGTGCATGGCCAATCAATCGGCACTCCATGTGCTTGGACCCATACTGTAAGTTCATTGAAGGTGGGATGATTTTAAGATAGTCCTGCTACCCATTCTCTGAGGATTAGGTATTGGCTTTCAAAGATCCAGCTTCTTCCCAAGTCGACTTTCCGCATAGCCTCTTTGTTTGGAAATATAAACTGAAAATAATTAGTATTGAGCTCACGCACTTCTAGGGTATTCCCCAATCGCCATAGCATCCCCATTGTTATTCTGATTTCCACTCAATTAGCTTTCTTTTCCCCTACAATTTTCCCAAATAAGCTTCTTTGACATTCTACTGCACTGATCAGCACATCTTTCTCCTCAATATCAATAATCAATTTTTCAGCTTCCGCGATTGAGACCTTGCCCAATCTATGTTGCGAACTACGAACCCCACCAATACTCAATCGACCCTTGGACTCTAACCAAACTTTGCCCCTTGAAGAAGATTCTCCCCTTGGAGATGAAACTCTCAAGACGATAGAAGGAAACTCTTAGGACGAGAGAAATTTTTTGATTTTGTTACTTGGTTTGTGAATTTTGTTATCAAAAAACAATCCAAATAATCCAAACAATTTTGGAGGTTGTTACAAAATAAAAATAAAATAAAAAGCTAAAAAAGTTGAACACTTTTTCGACGAAAAAAATCACCTAATTTAACAAAAATCATTATAACATGTGGGTTTTATAATATTACTTATAAGTCAACTATGTATTTTTTAAGTCAAAATTACTATTTCTATATTTTTCCAATAACCTCTTTATATTAATATAGATATTGATATAGATTGGACGTTATACAAGTTCAAGAACTAAATGTGAATGTTAGTAACTTCAAGAAATTTGGGAAAAGATTAAGTGCTAAATTATCAAGTCATGTCATAGTAATCAGACACATGAACTAAACGGAAATTCTCTCTTACCAACAAACATAGATCCACAATACAATCATGTCACTCAAAAAAAAAAAATAAAAATAAAAATAAAAATCCCTAACCTATCATACCAAACAAATAATGAGCCCTCAAAAGAGTAAATGCTAGTGGTGCAGATTTCTTACTACAGTCCCCTGTTTTCTTTCCCATTTTTGTCTGTTGCTTGTTGACGAGCACTTACTAGTGAAGGTGTACAATTATCATCATTTATGGGCTCATTAGGCTGATCCAAGTTCCTCTCCTTCAGATGATTGTTATTTGACAAAGTCGACCGAATCGCTCTCGGTAACTTTAATGGGATATCAGTTTCGGCATTGATTTTTGGCTGCTCAGTAACTTCAGCATTCGGCTGTGCCTGAGCGGCAGCAGGTGTTGTCGGAACAAGCTGAATGACCGACTTGCGCCATTTTTTCCTCGAAATATTTGGTTTTGGGATGCTGGGTAATACCTGCAACATTTTAAATATATATATATATATACTCGAAAAATTCAACTGACGGACAAATTTTTATTAAAAAAAAAAAAACACATTTTCAAGAAGAGCGGCCAAAAATTTATACTCGAGGAAAGAACTCAGTGAACAGACAGTTTTCAAGTAAATATTTTAACAGATAAACTATACAGTGAGGCAAAACATTACGGTTCGGAAAAGGGCGGAATTCTAATACGTTTAAAAATTACACTTGTTCATTCATACAATAACGGTCACAAATGATGGAAGTGCACTTACCAGGTTATTCCCAATGTCGGACAGCGGCTTCCTCATGGTCTCAGCATCATTTGGGCCAGCGGGCTTCTCAGTAAAAGCAGTTTGAAGCATCATTGCACCATGAGAAGCAAGTTCATCATTATTACTCTCCTTTTCATCTCTTTCGAACAAATTTCCAGAAGACTCCTTCCGATTGCTACATTTGGTGGGCCCGCAGCTACAGGAGATGCTGCAGCTACCCATTACGGCCCGACACTCACACCTTGACGTCTTGCAGAAGGAAGATTTACTGCACGAGCAACAAATTGACTCGACCAGTTTCTCCTTCCTTCTAGTTTGACGACCTTTTCTCTCTACTGTGTGTCCCCACTCGACATCTTCCTCTGACTCATCTGATGTGTCCATGTCCTCCAGTAGCTCGGACTCATAAACTCCACTACTGCTTGTGGAGTTACAAGATCCCTAAGTATAAAAATATTAATGCAAACGAATACCAAACAGTGGTAAAATGTATGATACAAGTCGAGTGGACAACTGATCGACAATGTAGATGAAACAAATGATAGCATGACTTAGCATATTTACATACCTTAGGTCGTAAGACATAACCAGAGCCCACCTTTGTTTCATTGGATGGTCTCTCCAGAGCCAACTTCTAAAGGAAAATCCAATAATTAACATTCAGGAACAGCTTGAATACCACCAATGATATCCCACAAATTAAAAATTAAAAATGGTAATTAAAAGATTAATCAGATAAGCATCTAAAAACTAACAGGCTCTATTAAAAAAGTTAAAATAATGAATTTATTTGCTTTACATGCTTTATAGTTTATACCATAGCCATGCAGAAAATACTTCGGAAGGAAATTGCATCATACGAAACTAGCTGCTTCTTGATATACATAGCTGGAATAAAATTTAGCCAAATAGTATTCTTATTTCCAAGGTCAAAACCAAGAAATGCAAAAATTCAATAAACGGAAAAAAAATATATATATATATAATTTTATTCAATAAGAAATTGTTCACAGCAAATAAGCTCGTCTTACTAGGAAACATATACTATCAAGTAGTTGCAGTAGTGGCTAAGTTATTACTCAACATGTAGAAATACGACTCATATAATCTCACTATCTCAGAGATCTTGTATTGATGCCTTAAGGGTGCATTCACAAGAATTGCAGACCCCATAAAGATATACAAGAATAAAATTTATTATACTAAACTAGAGTGAACTCACCACCAAATTTTCCTGTCGGCTGAGTTCAGTCTTTTTATGCTCCAGTTGCCTAACCAAATTGAACACTTTCTCCTTTAA